CTACACTGATCATCTACCAACTTTCATGACCCTATGAACCACACTTGCAAGTCCTTATTTGAGAGTCACAAGTCACACATCTTAAGAGCGCAAAGAAGATCCAGGAATCCTTCACAGGCAGGAGGTATCAGCGATTTCCCAGGGGTCTACTACTCTGTTTTGCAATGTGACCATCCTTTAACATGCAGCTGGTTCCAGGGCCAACACAATGATGTCTTTACCAAAAGTTCATTGTATATCACCAGCAAAAAATAAATGGAATTTAATAAAAAAACCCCCACACTTGAGGGGCCGTATCTGGATAGATCCAGTGTATACACTGCCTGAATCACAAAACTCCACTCTGTCTTGAGGAATGCGAAAAGCTCGTGTCAGCTAAAATTTTGAAACTTTCAGAATGGTGGAATTGCATCTAAAATATGTGGAAAAAGTATTTGCCAGCCAGTTTGGATAGACAAAGACTAGGACCTGGATAAACTCAGCAGGAGTCCCAAAGCCAAACTAGAGACCACATGCACAACGAAAGCTGTATCGTGAACTAATAATTTCTTCTTTTAGTTGGAAAGGTTTCTAGACAAAAAACACTTGGGTTTTGATACATATTCAATCTGAACTCTTTCAAAAAGAAACAAAAAGATGCCTTTAACTTGAATCAGGACACCTTATCATGCTTTAGTATGCTTAATTCTGTAAGAGATCATTCCTGACAAAATAACAACTTACTAACCAACGAGAAGATTACTGCTAACAAAAGTGAAGAGCTTGCTTTATTCACTAGCCGTTCCTAGTAAGTTATACCAACAGTCTGCTTTACCATTCAGGTACTTTTGTTGAGTTGAGAATTCCTGTGCACTAACATATAAGTATGTATCTACATATGTATAGTTTTATGTATATGCTCTCTCTTGCTATATACACACATTTTTTTTAATATTATCTATTAAATTTCTACCAAAAAGAAGCCAGCACATGGGAGTAATTCTGCAAATATGCTTGGGGAATCTCTTTTTTAACTCCCACTTAGATTTCTTGAAAGTGAGAACCTAAAGTCATGGCTTTCAATTCATCTTTTTACCTCCTACAGAAGGTATGAATTTATATAGTAAATTGAAGCCTGCTGACAAAGTCTTTAGTCTTAACTATCTTCTGTGGTCCACAGACTATTCAACCCACAAAGCAAATTAAACCCACTGAAATTACTGTTTTCTATTAACATCAGCTTTCAAGTGTGTAAAGAATGGCAAAAGTCTTTGGTGTAAGCAGCTGCTTACTGCAAAAATGGGAGTACAATACATTCCAGCCACCTACTTTCCAGTTAAGCTGCACTGAGCACATCCCTTTTTACCTACAGAGAAGGAAGGTTTGCTCAAGTCCTCTGTACCTTGCTCCGCAGGAAACATAGGAAGAGCAAAGAGATGGGAAATCAGATTGTTATTCAATTAGCACCAGTGTTTCAATTCTGTAGTCCCTGTTCTACCTGGAGCTTGTCTTGCAGTTCAGGTATAACTGCCCTTCCTTGCTGATTAAGCTTTCTTAATACTATCTAACTAGACTGTATTTACTCATATTCAAGTTTGCAACAGAATGCTTTCAAGAACACTATGCAAAGATGCTTTGCTTAAGAGTCAGCTTTTTAGAGTATTGCTGTAAAGTTTGTGTCCCCACTCGCTTGCTGTCCAGATGAACAATATCTGTGATATTTTACCTTGAGCTACTTAAAAGTACTCCAGAGTAGCGATTCAAGTAAAGAAGCTGGAGAGTACACTCCACCTTAATTATCACACAGAAATCAGAACATCAAGTAACAATATTAGGTAATAGTGTTTATGCTAGTCTACAATTTCCATTATGCTTGGTTCTAGTACCGATTTATAGCTTCATAGGTTGCTGAAACAGACAAAGAAAGTCCAAACAGTGCAGCCGGTTATTCAACCGTGAAAATACAAGAGATGCACTTTTCCACCTGTAGGAAAATAGAACTTCAGGCTCAACACCTGCAGCAAGGGAAAGTTTTCAGCTCATCTACCAGACAGATAAATAGATGCAATGCTGGAAAGGAGTGCAGGAGCATGGCGAATTGTCTATTTCTTTCACACACTTCAGAAATAATTCACCTTCACAGCCAGTCACAGGGAGTAAAGGACAGCTACAATTCCTTACACAACACTGACCATTGCATAAAATTGAAGGTTTATGATCAGTCCCTTCTCCAGCCCTGCTCCTGCTGAGAATACTACAGGTTTTCCACAACTTTTGCAAGTCACAGCATTTCCATAGAACAATACAACGCAGTATCCATGAGGCCTGTGTACTTTTGTAAATCCAGCCCTGATCCACTGCTTAACTTTCTACAGTAATGATGGCGGCTCCCCTGCATCAGGCTATATTTAATTGTTATCAAGACTGTCACTCCAGAATGACAGCCATGGAAGTTTACACCAGACAAACAGAAGTGAATGGCTTTACTGCACTTATAAAGTGTCGAATTTGTAAAGTGACATGAATTTTCAAAGATTTGTTGTAGTTATCACCAATGCCACTTGCATAGATTATCACGGTATTCGCCTTTGTCTCTTCTTTACTTGAGAGTTTGATCTTCTTTGCAATTTATTCCCAGCAGCAATTCTCAATTGCTTTCTTCACTTGTTCCACTTCCCTCCTGAGCATTCTGAATGGAATGGGACCACTAGAAGCTTAGTAAATATATTTTGTTACTGGTCTCTACTTCCATTCTGCAGAATTCACATTTCCAGATTTGAAGGCTAAATACAGCAACACTTCCCAAATTACAGTTAGCTATCTGTCTACAGTTGTGGCTTGCTAAGGCAACTCTCCCCCGAGTAAAAACCATCTAGAGTTCTGGAAACTTACAAATAAGAAGGAAAAAAAGAAGACTAAACAGCAGGGGCAAGTCATATAAAGATATTCCCTAAGTGTCACACTCCCTTTGCAGTAATTATTTTAATAATGGAACCAGACTGAAAAGTGTTCCATCATTTAAAATTGAAAGCTTTCATCTTTCATTTACAAAAACAGTTTCCTGATAATGTATAGGAAACATGAAAATGAGCTTTCCAAGACCTGCCTGTGAATTAAGCTATGAGGTTAACGATTGATACAAGCCTAGGAAAAATGTTTCTGGCATTTAAAACATTTTTAAAACTTTAAGGTGTGCTCAGTAGGACATTTAAGATGAAGAACAAAGTCTCGCTTCACAGGTAAGTATCAAGTTTTGAGTACGATGCACCCTCCTGATACTTACTTTTAATGAAGTCGCTGGGAACTTTATTATGCTTAGCTGGTTTAGTCTTACAAATTGCTACAGCTTTTAAATAATGCTGATATACTTTTAAATATATTTTGATATATTTTTATAGGCAATCACAGTTCGATACAAAGTATTTTTCTGACATAATCTTTAGCAAGGTGGGCTGTTTCAAGTAGTAAGAAAGTTCACACACAAAATAATCAGGCCTGTCCCTGGTAAATTCAGGTTTGTTGGAGGTCTTACAGTTCAGAAGACTAGCCTTGCTCACACTATCGTATTTGTTCATGTTTCTCTTGTCACCTGACAAACTTTTTTTTTTTTTAAAGTAACCAGGAATATTTTGTCCCTCACTAGAAGGAACCCCAAATTTATTTGCTAACTAGAACAGCATCAACTTTATTGGAAGCAGAAGTCTTCAAGAATGAGTATGTATTAGAGCTTAAAAATTATTTACAAGATTCGAAGTTTACTGTCTTTCTAGGACATTCCTTTCTATAACAGGAAGCTTGACATAAAAATACACAAAAGTTATTAAAGTTTCTTTAGTTTTATTGTTCACAGATTTGCTTGTGATTTGCACCTAGTGTCACCTAAACACTTCCCTCTTCCCCTTCTTCCCACTCCATCATACACTGTGCTACATGCAAGCTTAATAACCAGCACGTTGCTGACTGATCAGCTGGCAATTATATTCTTGCATTTCTTCACTTGAGGCAATAATTTAGATCTCTCTCTACCCAACTGGAAGTTTCCAAAAAGTCCAACAGAATGGAGTTTTCGTTATGACTCTCTGACTGACAGAATCAGCTAACTGTTTCAACAGGCTGTGATCAGAAAGAGGGGCGGAAACAGAGACAGATGCGTGGACTAACAGCACAGTCACAACCACGTCTTAGAAGAGAAGTCTAAAACCACTTTTTATTTGCAAGTTCACTTTGACTTCTTAAACCTTCAGCATTCATCATATTTCCAGTTTTAGAAATCTAAACTTTCTAGCACAACAGGGACTTCTTGAACTTAGCATTCTTCTAGAAAATGACCTTAATTCCACCCCTACAAATTGGTTGTCATCCTGCATGGATGCAGGGAAGTTCCAATCAGGCTCCTCCAAACATGTGAACACTCCGCACATGCTAGAAGACTAGCATTTAGCATTACAAGACTGATTCTTCTTTTTATTAAAAAAAAAAAAAAAACCACACTGGAAAACTGTACTTTCACTTCAGAAAACAAATACAAAGTTAACACTTTAAGTTATACTGCTCTGACAGCTCTAAAGAGGGAAGAATCATGAAGTACTCTGTATCAAAACCTAAAATGAACAGCTCACTGCTCCACCTTTAGAGATAGTCTTGTTAGGGTTTTAGACAATACATACTATGCATGTGTGCCTTGCACTTTATAGACAGTGGCTTTATTTTAACATTCTAATCCAATGTTTCGGCCATTATTTTTTTCCTCAAATACTATTCTGTTGGATGCTGACATGGTTTTAATACTATTTAAGCTTTATTATGTAAGGTGTATACAAGATCATTACAATTCTTAACTGAAGCAATGTAAATGTAACAAGCAGATTAAGCACCTGTAAGAAAGTACATCCAGTCCTCCTAACCATGGTCTGCTTGCTAACCAGGAAGCTTTGACATCAAGTTCAAATACAAACCAGTTTTAATAAACAAAATATAGGAGAATACATAACCAAGAATAACTGAAATGAGCAAGTGCTTACCTTGATTCTCCACTACTGTTTCTTACACTTTCTTCATCACTGTGCCCATTCATTGTAAATATTAAGAAGTTTAAAAGATAAATAAAAGCCCACTCAGGTTACAAGGTGGATATCAAGAATCCACTTCTTGGTACTCTGTACGTTTTCCAGGTAATATGTTTGCTCTAGTGTTCTCTGCTGGTATTCAAGATTTCTCCCAAAATACCTAAAATAGTAAAGAAAAACATTGACACAATTTGAAAATATGTTTGCAACTAAAAAGATACCAAAAATAACTTGTTTTTTCACTAACACTGAAAGGGAGCATTATGTTTGATATCATGTTTTTAACTGAAAAATAGCTTTTTGTGTGTTACCTGTTCATAGTTGATCATTTTATCACCATTTTCTTATGTGGAAAAAAAAATTAAAATCTTTCCTCACGTCTCTGAAAACCAGAAAAAATCCTTCTCAAGAGAAGAACAGGTCTTTTTATTCGTTACACTTAAAAAAACTGAAAGAACTAAATGAAATACACAAATGCATGAAAGGAAAGACCTGCCTAGGTTTTTGCTTGACTGCAGTTGGATCCCAGCATACAGGCCATTACGCTTCTTTATGCAACTTTTCATTGATGGTGCTATAAAGATGGCAATTTCTACTGAGCCACTAGCTGCAGAATAAGAAATGTTATGGAAATTACATTCTCTTTAGCATTGCAGGATGAGAAGAACAGTTTACTTCATATCTGCACTATACCCCATGGCTTAACTTTTGCCATAGTACTGACTTCAGGACAAAGTAGATCTAAATTTTAAAGAACAACTCCCTACCCGAACACATAAGTAAAAAGCATAGATGTTAATATTCTACTAAGATCTTCTTAGTAAAATGTATTTCATGCACAAAACGTAATGGAAGCATAATGCTTACATCCAGTCGTGGGTAGAGACAGGAAGATAAAGACTGTCCCGTTTAAAACAACTGCGTCAACTAAATCAAACCACAGATGGAATGATCATTATTTCACATACAAGAGCATTTTAAAATCAGATCACTGCTGTACCCGATGCAGCTAGAGAAAGTTTAGGCTCACGGTAAATGGACTGCAAGCATAAACTCACTGATAATCAGATAAAGAGCAGCGCCTCTCACAGGTTTAGTGGTGTGAAAGCGATTAGGGGCTCGCCTGCCCCGAGGTGCTCTCCTCTAATATGCAACAGCCCAACCCAAGGCT